CTAGAGCAAGCCTCAGATACCTTTTGTTGTTGTTACTTATCTTTCGGCATCCAATGGAGCCAGATTGTCATTCTCTAAATAAAGAAGTTGGGAAAGGATTAGAGAAGGGGCCAAACATGGATAAGAGAAGGGGCCAACCGTGGATAAAAGAAGTGTCATGCATACTTGTAGCAAGAATGTATCAGTTCTATTTAGCTAACCATAAACCACTTATGCTTATGCTTAGAGGACTCAATGCAGAAATTCATGAGATCAGAGAATCATGTCCGCCTCTTTCAGCACTGCATCCTCAGCACCTGGGAGAGCTCTAAGCACATTGTCAGCTCTCTAAATATTTGTTAAATGAATGAATGACCCACAACTCCGATTTTCACCAGCAGCTTCGACCTCCTCCTATACCCCATTTCAACTTAATTTTTTCCACTTCTTCTTGCCCAATTATAGATGTAAAGCTAATGAAGAGACAAATACTCACAGAGCCACTAACAAGAATTGAAGAGATGGGATACCTATCATTAACCAATAGGGTTGATGGTAAAAATAATTTAGATGTATTATCAATATATTCAGTATGACTTCAAAGTTAGTTACCATTCTAAAAGAATGGAACTCTTCATATTTACTATTTTCTTTTGCTCCATTAGTGTATATACTACTTGATTCATTTCAGACATCAAGTCATCTAAAGACTTTGTGGGACAGTTTTTTCCAAAGAAGATTACAAAATTCCCGTAGAAAATTCTAGCCTCCTGCCCTTGTTTTGAGCTCAGTATTTCAATTTATTCATGCAAATAAAATGATTATATGCTTTCTGGAGTTATAAACATAATGATGACTTTTTGTTTATACAGTTTATATATTGTGTTTTGCATGTACATTTTTTTTCAGCCACCGTGAAAGGATTTTCCAAATGTTTCATTTAATCTGTTGAAAATCCTTCCACCTGGTGCTGTTAGTTGAATGTAATGGTAAATATATACCATTCTTTGCCTTCCATTGGACTGTTTTAGTGTCCATGTGTATGGGATTGACAGAACATTACTTTTACAGTAGAGTTACAAGTGTCCAAATCCTAAATAGCAGCTATGAGTAACCCCATGGGGAAAGATTCCTAATTATTTTCTAAGTTTTCTGTGTTAGTGACAGGTTTTATGCATACAGTCAGCAATTAAAGCATTAGAGTTTCTTTTATTTCTTAATCATTAACAACTTTAGCACTGATTGCCCATGGAGTTGCAAGCTGTTAAAATTATCATTTGCCTCTTACTAATTTTGAAACCAAGAGCTGTTCCTTTATTTGATGAAGCATAGATCTTTCTCCGAGCATACACAATGCAAGAGTACTAAGAGTTTACTCTGGAAAAACCAAATCTGAACATAATTAATTTGCAAAGTAAATGGAAGTAAAGGGAGGATACTCTTAAATATTAATAAGTTTAGTATTTTTAAAGGATTCAACAGAAAACGTTTTTTGTTTGGCTTTTTTTCAATAGAAAGCTTTCTTGGGTTTTTTTTATTTATTATTCTCCAAATATGGTGGATTTGATAAAGTTTATGATGATTATTTTATGAAGAGTGTGAAGAGTCAGAAAATCTTCAAGTCATGTTTTAGTGCTAAAACGTCAGTTAAAATTCAACAGATTAACATAATATAGAATTATTATGTAAGCAAATAAAATATAAAAGACATCTTGGAAAAATTATATTTATATCCAGCCTTTTAAAAACCATATGCCTATAGAGGCCTACCCATCATATGGTATGTGCTCAATAAATATTTTTTAAATGGATTTGATATGTGTTAAAATCAGTTGAATATGATACGATAAAATCAAATATGTTACCTTAAACATTCATTCATGTAAATATATTTATTGTACATTCCAAATATAGTTTGTTGGAAAATACAAAAATTGATGACTTATTTTGTTTAAAATGATGTTGTTTTAATATTAATTGATGTATATCTATAACATTGAGCTAAAGGAATCTGTTTGGGTCCAAGAGGCTCCTGTAGAGTAGGGCTGTACTAGCTACTTAAGAAATATCTCAGAAAAGTGTTAGAATAACCGGTTTCTAAGCTCTATTCCCAAATATTTTGGGGGTGGGTCTAGGGTGAGCCTACACATCTGAATTTTTTGAAAAGCTACCCAGATATTGATATGCACTTAGATTTTTAAAACCAGTGATAATAATCTACAACCACTGCTTCCAAGAATAATCAGTTGCTACCTATTTTTGTTTAGCCTATTTTTAACGTGATTATTCTTGACTTCCTGTTAAACTTCCTCCTTTGGGAAGACACAAACTTCTGAGGGTGAGGGTAGGGATAGGATATTTTCCTTAGTTAGGGTACCAGGAAAATGAGAATCTAGGCTTTCTTAGTCCAGTATTTCTGATTTCTGGGGATTTTTTTCTAAAAGTTCCAATCCATTGCCAGACAATACATTGTGGATATATCACAACATGATTCATTACTTCAAGCTGGAAAAGCAAAAGTTAGCACTACCTGGAAGCTCTCCAGTATTTACCAGCTTACCACCTTTTTCCCCTAAAAGTTGATCTTGATGCATTTTTCACCTCCCACATAATATAGTTTATTTCTAATTAGTGTTTCCCACTCAGTATCATGAACTGTAATAAAACATTATAATGCATCATGATTTTGATTCCTTATCAAAAATAAAATCTCTCCTTCCATTAGGAGCTTCCATTTGCAATACTAACAGCTGTCTCCATCTTCCTAAAGAAGCAGACAATTTTGCTTGTAGGCTATAGGCTTCAAAGCATTGTGTGCAGTTAGATTGTGATGTAACATCTGTCTTTTGAAAACCTACAGTCTAAGTGAAATATAAGTCATTTTCTTTTATGGTTAAATTCCACTTGCCCTTGATATTTGTGCCAGTTAAACATCTGTAGTATGTTAAATACTGTGTAGGACAAAGAAAGTGACAAAGCATAGCTGGCAAAGTCTCATAATAACTTTATAATCCTGTATTAAAACTTAATGTAATTGAAGTCTATTGGAATTATTTTATTTTTTTCCTTCTCCAGGGAAAATATTAATAACTCAAATTCCTTGAAACACTTTTGTTTAAGCTCTATGAGTCCCAAACTCCATTAACTTAAATGAAGAAACATGGTTAAACAATTTTAGGCTATTTTATTAATGAGATACAATTCCATAGCTGAAAAAGGGAAGCTAAAATCAACTGAAACTTGGAATGGATCAATAAGAACAAGAAACTTCCCTTAACAAAATAAAGTTAAAATCATTTAAGTCTACTACAACAGAATGGTTAGCAACTGCTCTCCCATACATGTACACAAAGTACTTGCCTCATGAAGTTTCTTTGCTTCTCTAAGTTGATTCTTCAAGGAGGAAAGAAAATCAGAAAATCGTAAAATTTTTTATAAACAAGACTTATAGCACATGATAACACTAACTGTTCTATTATCTTTAGATATGGCCCCAGTTGAAAAGTACCTCCCAGAAGGTTTTTCCATTAAATAAAAGATTAGCCCTGAGTTCTTTTCTCTTGTTAGAAAACAGCAGTCAATATTTTGGTAATGAGGAGTCATCACTAAAATTATAATCATAAGGATGAAGAGTATTGTACTATTTTCCAGTCTCTTCACCCTCTGACTTTATTTTTGTTTTTCGTAGGTATTTGTAAGATACTGCCACATAAGAAATAAATATAAATGTCATTTTGAGAGATTTGTCAATTTTCTTGAAAATTTCATTTATCTAAGTTGTAATTGATAACATCCAAGATTGATTCATTTCCTAAGGCAAGCTCAGCATTAGTTTGTTTGATGTTCTACCAGCTTCAGTCATTTCATGTCTGTTGTCAGCATGCAGGCACCTTTGAGTATGTCCTGTTCACATCTTAGGGGCATTGTTATTCATAGTAACTTCATATTAATGATACAGTTGAATTATGGAGTCAATATAGGTGTCAAGTGTCTGGATGGTGAGAATATTAATTTATTTTGTTTATAAACAGAAATAGGGGAAAAAAGAATGGAAGGATAGGATAATGTGACTATTATCTCTAGATAGTAAGTTTATTATAGATTTTAATTTTTTTCTTATGCTTTTCTGTTATTTTCAAATTTCTAAAATAAAGAAAAGTAAGTAGAATCAGAGAAAAAGAAGAAATTATAGTTGCTGCCTGCTTGCTTATTTTGTTTTTGCTTTTTCTAGGAGACTTGGCTAGGCTTTTTTTTTTTTTTGATGTGATATTTCTTTTCCAAGACATATTTCTTCTTCCTCATGCCACTGAAGCACATTTTTTCTATTTTAGCTATATGGAAAGTACATGAGTTTGTATGACTAGGACCTAAAGATATGTAACTTTAGCTGACTTTGATTCTTTATTTTAATTTGATAAACTCCATTTGTAGATGGATTCTTGACTATATTTTGCTACAACTGATGCTTATGGCCTTTGTATTTGAGGATGTTGATAAGTGTCATGGAGATAAATGTGTTGAGATGCACCAAAGGTTCTAGGAGATATGAAAAACAACACAATAGGATTTGTAGACTGATCATGTTTTTGAGATACTGACTGAAAGCCATTCATCAACATTTCTCAGGCCTGAGCTCCTAGATCATTGTTCAGGTAAAAGTTCTAATATATCCATTGGCCATTAAAAGTTACTTTCAAGCTGTGTATCAAAACTTAATCATGGACATCTTTGCTGCTGCTGTCCAAAGAAATACCTTATATAATTCTTTCATTCTTAGGTAAATTTCTGGATTTCCATAAATGGGCCCCCTTCATGCACCCCTTCAACCCCTTTTTTCTTTTAATAATTGAAAAAAAATCTGCATCCTAACTTTATGAGACTATCAAGGAAAAAGAAATCCTACAACCATCATGAGACATTAAAGAATATAGAATAAAATTTAATGCTTTGGGAGTTTCGGGTAGTACAAAAAAGCAAGGAATAATTTGGTTTATTTGTTTTTTCCCATCTAATATTTTTAGGTACAAGCCTATGCAGAAAGTGGATGGGGTTGCAGATGGTTTCACAGGAAGTGGTCAACAGACAGGCACATCTGTTGAGCAAACTGTAATTGCCCAAAGCCAACATCATCAACAGTTTTTAGGTATGTTAAGGTGTAATGCATATTAGTTGCTACTAGGATTTTGAAAAGAGAACAATGGTAGTCTTTTCTCCAAGTGCAATGTCTATTATAGATGTCAATGACATAGAAAGATTTTTTTTTGGTGCCAAAATTATACACATCATATGTATAGTAGTCCTAGCTTCTCTTTGCCTTTCATGTTTATTAGAGATTATTTTTAAGAATATTGAGCTATATAGGACTTTTATGCATATGGATTAAAGACTCATTGCTATGAAATTGTTTTCCAGAATTTGTATTAATCAGCTTTTATTGTCAAAATTATGCTGTTACTTTCAGTAGTAACTTCAAGTGCCAAAAGGAATTCTCATTTCCTATGTATAAAGTTACATACTCACAGGCTCAGATTAGAAAAAAAATTATTGTAAACTTTTAAAAAGTAATTTATGCTTTTAATCACAGCATTTTCTCTTTTTATGATTTATAGATGGTTTACATGTTTCTTGTTATTGAAAGAGTTAGGAAAAGGAACTTGCATATTTTTACCATAGCCAAAGGGGCAAAACAAAAATGGCACTTTAATTGACAACTCTTCTAGAGATGAACATGCATATTTTCCATATAACAGATCAAGATAAGTAGAAGCTATCAGAGAGTGACGGTGTGTATGTGTCTGTGTGTGTGTGTATATGTGTTTATGTGCACTTTCTGACAAAGACAACTAAAATAGACTCTCAGGTTGGAATAGTTACTAAAGTTGAAAACATCATAGCAGCATTTCTCAGACTGAAGTCCTCGGGTTACATTTCTGTGCACCCTTGGTCATTCAACATGAATTTTATTTTGTGATTTTCATTTCAATTATCATCTTAAAAACTAAGCATATTGTGGATTACCTAGAAAACTAGAACTAAATACTGTTCTGCAATTTTAGTTTCCATATTTGTACCTGGATTTATGATAAGACAGGCACCAAAATATCTTACATTAATTGTCAGAGCTAGTAAGAAAAGAATAGAGAGAGACTTACTATGTAAATTACATTTCCCTCCCAAGGGAAGCCTAAATCATGTCCCTGTATTCTGTGTGGAGAAAAGTTTAACATTCATTTGCACTTAGAAGAGTAATGGAAGAAGCAGCCACCATAAAGCACATGTTGCTATAGACCTACCAGACCCAAAAGATCCTGTGCTATCCTTTTGCAAGAGATAACTTAGTTACAGGACAGGAGCATCATCCATCACATCAAATTAATGTTATTAAGTTTTATGTTATTTTTGTAGTTTTCTTTGTATTTACTTTGTAGTTCTTTTGGTTTATGACTCTATAACAGTTATGAACATAATGAGTTTAAAGCTAGATTTTTTTAGTAATGAAGTAACATAATAAAAATATTTAGGTACTAGCAAGCTTGAGATATTTTTCATTTAATAGGGGCCTTGTGTTGAGAGACACTGTGATATGCAGTATGCTATTTGCAGTATAATTGTAGTGCAAATTTTGTTTCTAGAAAATTCTTAAGAATTTCTAGACAAAAGTGTTCCCTTTATTTTTATATTTTGTGCTGATGATGGTGCTACATTTTGCTTGTAAAATATTAATATAAAAAATCCTTGCTCTCTGGACCTCTGACCTTTAAAATTTGTTTTTCTTTTTGGTCTTCTTAAATTTTTCCTCATTAATCTGTAATTGGCACCATCCACAATAGCATTTTTCTGTTCTGTTGTCATGGTAACAGATGCATCTCGAGCACTTCCAGAGTTTGGAGAAGTTGAAATCTCTTCTCTGCCAGATGGTACTACCTTTGAGGATATCAAGTCACTGCAGAGTCTTTATCGAGAGCACTGTGAGGTAAGTCTTTTCAAATGTAGTATGAACACATGCTTGGTTTTGCCAGACAACTTGCTAAAATAAAATAATTAAGCTTATTCCTAAAGGAAAGATGAACTTAGCACTAATTCTTTTGAGCATATCTTTTAGCACTAACAAATTCATTTTTCTTCTTTCCTGTCTCAGAGTGGAGAGATGAGGAATGCAGAAAAGTGAGAATAAATTTTATTCTCTATTTCTTAAGTCTATCTTAATATGAATCCTTTGATGCAGCAATTCCGCTTCTAGGTATTTGTCCTACAAAAATACTTACATATGGGTGGCAAGGCAAGTGTACAAGAAAATTTGTTGCATTATTATTTTTAATGCAAAAGATTGGTTATAATTTCTTTATCAAATAGGGAGATGGCTGTAGAATACTATACAGCCATCAAAAAGAGTAGGCAACTCTATAAACGTATTAAAATGGATCACTTTGAGATTTAAAGTTAAAGGAAAAAGCAAATGTAAAAAAAAATGTGTATTTTCACTTGAGTGAAAAATTGTGTGTGTGTGTGTGTGTGTGTGTATTAACAACTAGTTTGTTGTTACTGGGGTTTTTGTTTGTTTTTTTTTTAAGGAAACCAGAATATATCCATTTTAAGCTGTCCTTCCTTGTGGTTACCTTGTCTTGTTGCATTATCCACTTAATTTATCATTGTTGCTGACAATATATGTTTTTGGAAGAAAAATATATATGTGTGTGTGTGTGTGTGTGTATCTGTGTGTGTCTTCCTCTTCCTTTATATATATATGTGTGTGTGTGTATGTGTGTGTGTGTGTGTATACAGAAGGAAGAACAAGAAAATGTTAACAGTGGTTGCCTTTGTGAAGGAAACTGGGTGACTGGAAGTTAGAGGAGACTCCATTTTTCAACAGACCTTTTTTATCTTTTGAATTTTATATCATAAGTATATATTTCTATTAAAAATAATTTCTGGAAATGTTTAATAAAGCACCTTACATGTTCTTTCCATGGATCATTGAGGCCCCAGTTTTGTTTGTTTCACTTTTATGGTTAATTAGGGTTTCTTTTGGTGTTTTCTTTTTTTTTTCCTCTCTTTTGAGATGGAGTTTCACTCTTGTTACCCAGGCTGGAGTACAATGGCGTGATCTCGGCTCACCACAACCTCTGCCTCCTGGGTTCAGGCAATTCTCCTGCCTCGGCCTCCCAAGGCATGCGCCACCATGCCCAGCTAATTTTTTTTTTTTTTTTGGTATTTTTAGTAGAGACGGGGTTTCACCATGTTGACCAGGATGGTCTCGATCTCTTGACCTCGTGATCCACCCTCCTCGGCCTCCCAAAGTGCTGGGATTACAGGCATAAGCCACCGCGCCCGGCTCTTTTGGTGTTTTCTAACCCTGCTCCTACTGTCATTCTGAGTCTCCCACATCAGAGGCTGGCTTCACTGTCTAGGAGGGGAGCTGTCTCCATACCAGCATATTAATGTACTACAGCTCACCTGGTAAATACAGGATGGGATAACGGATTATAGTAAGAGTTTTCTTGAGTGCTTCTCCTTTTGAAAGAAGAGTCTATTTAGAATTCAATTAGCTTTATTCCAGGGATATTTGTGATCTACTTAGGAGTAAAAGATGATCCTTTGGATTTCCTGGGCAGTCCTCCTGACTGCTGACAATGCGGTATGCAATAAGAGGTCTTATCTCATAGAATTAACAGATATTTTCCCCCACTCCAGAAATAAGAATTGCTAGAGTAAATCTGAGTGCTTGTCAAGGGTACTAGATTATTAACAACCAAGGGCAGGTTCTCTCCTTATTAACGAAGCATGTGCCAGATGTGTTCTTCAACATTTCTTGGAATGATGAAAGCACTTAATATTCATTTTCCTTTGACTACTACACTTTTACCCATGTTAGAGAATTTCTAGATTATCCTTATGTATATAGAAAAAAATTCTTCCCATATCTGTCATCTTATTCAATAAAGATTTGTATAAAGATTCTCTAAATAATTTCTCATTCCTGTGTGTTCAAGTGAACTTTGCTTTAACTAAACCAGCTTATATGTACTTTTCTTTTAGACAGAGTCTCACTCTGTCACCCAGGCTGGAGTGCACTAGCACAGTCTCAGCTCACTGCAACCTCCACCTCCTGGGTTCGACTAATTCTGCCTCAGCCTTCCGAGTAGCTGGGACTACCCAGCAGGGCGTGGGTGTGCACTGCCACGCCCTGCTAACTTACTATATTTTTAGTAGAGACAGGGTTTCACCATGTTAGCGAGGCTGGTTTTGAACTCCTGATTTCAAGTGATCCACCCGCCTCCGCCTCCCAAAGTGCTGGTATTACAGGCATGAACCACCGTGCCCAACCAATATGGATTTTTAAAAAAATTTCAATATTTATTCAAAAAGTTGGAGCATAACTTTTTACATTGCTATAAAATGTACAGTAAGATTATTCTAAGTGACAAATTCCCCCAAATAAGATGGAAATAGTCTTTGGATTATAAGATTTTATTAACATACCATTTTCTAAAATAAATATACTTTATATGAAGAAATAAGGACATATAATCTGTGAGGAAAATGGCAGTCCACAGAATGATCCCCATTTATTTCAGAATAACCAGTGTTCATGCTATCTTTCTCATACAGCTCAGCAGCATATATAAAAAAGAAAAATTATAATTGTTTTTTCCTGTTAATAAATACTCATTTTGAATAAATATGAAAAACTTTTGAAATACAGCTGCTTGAATCTCATATTTAGTCCTGTAAATAGTCATTTGCCCTAAGCCCGTAGAATATGCATTATTTTAATTTATATTTGCCTATATATTTTAGTCTGAACATATTTGAAAGTAGGTGGACAAATGATAAAATGTTTTATTCATGTGTAAAACTGCCTCAAATGAAGCTGATACAAATGTCTTTTTCTAAAGAGTTATTTGAGATTATTTAATTTGAAGAGATACTGAATTTAAGATACACTGAAATTCTTTACTTGCCTAATTATATTTCACATTTCCTACGGTATATATTTTTAAAGAAAGATTAATATACCCACTTTGCGTATTATTTGGAATTCTCACAATTTGTTTGTCAAATATATTTTTGTAAGTATCACTAGTTTTGTTATGTAAGGGGCAAATATAACTTTTTATACAAGTTGCTGAAACATTTTCTTTTAACGTAGATTAAAAGAATAGTGTTTTTACAGCAATGTCATACAAAGAAGTATGTAAGGTATTATGTGTAAGATATTAATAGTTGCTTCACACTTTTAGAGATATCTCTTGGATTGTGCCTAAGCTACGATTGAGAAAGCAGTTACAAAAATTTGCTGTTTGAGAAGATTTTGATTTTTGCTTGGATGAGGGACATCTATATGCCCTTTATTTTCAGGGCTTGCATTTTGCTTGTTTTTGGTTTTTTTTTGAGACAGAGTATGGCTCTGTTGCTAGGCGCCAGGCTGGAGTGCAGTGGCGTGATCTCGGCTCACTGCAACCTCCGCCTCCCAGGCTCAAGCAATTCTCCTACCTCAGCCTCCCGAGTAGGTGGGACTACAGGTGCACGCCACCATGCACAGCTAATTTTTGTATTTTCAGTAGAGACAGGGTTTCACCATGTTGGCCAGGATGGTCTCTATCGCTTGGCCTTGTGATCCGCCTGCTTGGGCCTCCTAGAGTGCTAGGAATACAGGCGTGAGCCACCACGTCCAGCCATATTTTGCATTTTTATTGTTACTGAGTAATGTGTTAATTAATTTGTCTCCCTATCTTCATTTTCAATGTTTAACTACTTGCAACATTTTATATTCTTAGAGTATATTTTATATCAGTTAGTCTCTGTATCATGCATAGTCCAGCTTTATACAGATAGCCCAAACTTAGCAAATATAAAGTTATGGTTTGCTGGGTTTTTTTTTTTTTTTTTTGAGACAGAGTTTCGCTCTTGTTACCCAGGCTGGAGTGCAATGGCACGATCTCGGCTCACTGCAACCTCTGCCTCCTGGGTTCAGGCAATTCTCCTGCCTCAGCCTCCTGAGTAGCTGGGATTACAGGCACGCGCCACCATGCCCAGCTAATTTTTTGTATTTTTAGTAGAGACGGGGTTTCACCATGTTGACCAGGATGGTCTCAATCTCTTGACCTCGTGATCCACCCACCTCGGCCTCCCAAAGTGCTGGGATTACAGGCTTGAGCCACCGCGCCCAGCTTTGGTTTGCTGGTTTTGCCTAAAACACTCTTACAGACTCTTTAGATTGTCCACTGATTTCTTTTTTTTTTTTTTTTTTTTTTTTTTTGAGACGGAGTTTCGCTCTTGTTACCCAGGCTGGAGTGCAATGGCACGATCTCGGCTCACTGCAACCTCTGCCTCCTGGGTTCAGGCAATTCTCCTGCCTCAGCCTCCTGAGTAGCTGGGATTACAGGCACGCGCCACCATGCCCAGCTAATTTTTTGTATTTTTAGTAGAGACGGGGTTTCACCATGTTGACCAGGATGGTCTCAATCTCTTGACCTCGTGATCCACCCACCTCGGCCTCCCAAAGTGCTGGGATTACAGGCTTGAGCCACCGCGCCCAGCTTTGGTTTGCTGGTTTTGCCTAAAACACTCTTACAGACTCTTTAGATTGTCCACTGATTTCTTTTTTTTTTTTTTTTTTTTTTTTTTTTTGAGACGGAGTTTCGCTCTTGTTACCCAGGATGGAGTGCAATGGCGCAATCTCGGCTCACCGCAACCTCCCCCGCTGGGTTCAGGCAATTCTCCTGCCTCAGCCTCCTGAGTAGCTGGGATTACAGGCACGCGCCACCGTGCCCAGCTAATGTCCACTGATTTCTTACATCTTCCATGAATCTTGTAGATCTTTGTGGGGATGTTTTACCTTTGCCTCAGTGCTGATGACATGGATCACATTCTACTAACGACTTCTGTCTTTTAATGCCCAAAATAATCACAGAATCATGTGTTCTTGGCACAAACAAGTTATTGTTTGGTTTTGTGACTGCTTTTACCTTATTTACAAACTAATTGCAATGGCAGGGTAAAATTAAATATCATCGCCAGTTAACAGGGAAAGTGGTAGATTTAAACACTATAAAAATGTCTTTGATGCATCTGGGAAATAGTTCTAGGAGATAAAATTAAGCAGAAAGAGGAGGTGAGGCCGCCAAGATTTGAAAAGCAAGATAGTCTTAAAGCTGTTCTGTAAAGAAAGTGTGCAGAGATAGGATTGGATTCTCTAATGTTGAATGCTATGCCCAGAGAGGCAGTATCCACTGAAAGCCTGCTGACTCCATGATTTCTGCCGTAGCCTCTGTCTGGCTGGGAACACACTGAAACCCCTGGTCAGCTGCCTTAGACAGAGCAAATTCTAATTCACCTGTAACTCCATCTGCCACACAAAAGCACCTCCACACCCTTCGCTTTCATCCTCTTTGATGGTCAGTGGTTAGCCCAAAGAGGACTGATGTAAATTGAATCTATGTTCTGTACCCTTCCATGTCTAAGAATAGGTAGGGTGACAATAGCTATAGAGGCAGAAGGAAGTAGTAGGTAAAGGAATTTGAAAAAGAAAGAAACTGGAGAGGAAGGAAAGCAAGAATAAAAACGGAAGAAAAAAGAGGTAGAAGTGAGGTGACATGAGTCCATTTTGAGAAGAATGTTATCCTGCTTAATCTTTCATTTTGTTTTTTTAGGCAATATTGGATGTTGTTGTGAATCTTCAATTTAGCCTGATAGAAAAATTGTGGCAAACATTCTGGCGCTATTCTCCCTCTACTCCAACTGATGGCACTACCATTACTGAATCGAGGTCAGAATCAACATCTTTTCCAATTCATTTTAATGGCTGAGTAGATGTCACAGCTAATAAATTAGAGATATGTATACCAGTTGTGAACCTTTCTTGATAACATTAATTGAATAGATTGATGTTTTGGCCATTCTGGAAATAAACCACGAACTGCTCTCTTGAGGTTTCAGTCTGTATGTATAGCTCCCATTTGTATTGATTTTGGAGACTGTGGTATAGTTATTTCATCCTCATGGAATTACGATCATATCTGTGTTTCATACCGTCAGAAAATATGAATGTGCATAGACAGCTCTGGGGGAGTGTTTAATCTATCTATCTATCTATCTATCTATCTATCTATCTATCTGTCTATCTATCCAGCTGTATGGCACCAGTGCAATGGTAGTATAGTTCTAACTTCAGTAATATTTGGTAAACTTAAACTATTTTTAAAGTCCATTTTCTTTTTTATCCTCATTTGCCATCTATTCATTTGCTACATTTATTCACACCAGCAATCTGAGTGAAATAGAAAGTCGACTTCCGAAAGCAAAGCTGATAACTCTGTGCAAACATGAGTCTATCCTGAAATGGATGTGTAACTGTGACCATGGGATGTACCAGGCTTTGGTGGAGATTCTCATCCCCGACGTCCTTAGACCTATTCCTAGTAAGTTAAATGCAGACGAGTACGGATGCTTTTATTCTCATACATTCCACTTAGGAAGTTTTGAGAAGTGACATTGCAATCTAGAATGATTCTAATTTCATTTAGATTTGCCAGATAGAAAACATGCAACACAGAATATTGCATAAAAGCAGCCTAAAGCAAAACTGTACTAAAAGGGAAAAGATTATCTATTTTTCAGTATATATATATATATATATATATATATATGCCAACCTGTAGATATTACAGCCCAGTAAACTAATTCCAAGAATACTACAAGGCCAGTCAACCATGTAAAAATTATTCTACCCAAGGACAGAGTCCCCTTCATAAAGCCAAAAATTATGGAAATCTGTCATTGCTAGGCCAGCCTCCTTCATGGTTGCTTTTGATTTGAAGTGAATCTGTCTTGATTTCCAGTGAAGTTGAATTCCATTATAACAGCATTTTCTTTGTCACCTACATCATGTTAGGAACTACAAGTGCAGTTTCCATTAACAGTAATGGTTAACTGGCATTTTGAGAGAAAAATCTTTGTAACTACACAAGCATTGTAGTCCCACTATGAAGAAAATGGGAATTACATAGATAGGTTAGATTACCTTTTTAAGTGATGGTGCTTTTTAAACTACTTTGTAGCAAACAAAGCTATTTTCTGCAAGTATCTATATAAACGCTACCACAGATATTGTTAAAGGCAACTGAAAGTATTTTATGCCTACATCTGTATAAGTACACACTAGTGACCTTAACTTTTTAAGAAATGAGACAGTTTTTATTTTATGTTGACATTAATAAAGTAAAAACAAGCAGCTTGTGAAATTGGCTACTGCGTAGGTAAAGTATACTCTTCACAGATGATTTGTGTTATTCTAGAAAATATGAAAATAAGAATTTAGTAGAACAAAAGGGGAAGAATTGTATGCTTACACTTTTTTCTAAATAGTAAAAGACAACAGAAGGTATGAGATCTTTAATATGTTCCTGACCACCTTAAAATGTATGCTCAAATATGTTTCCATATAATATTAATGAACACACATAAATTTATGTAGGAATAAGTAAAAAAAATATTAGTCGATGTTATCTCAAAATTTTCTAAATTGCTTATATATTCTACTCTATCTACACCAAGTTTCCTGACTAAAGGTTGATTAAAAGTGATTTTTTGGAAAGTTTCACTAGCTAAATTCTCTACCGATTTATGTTCCAGAATTGGATTTTCCTTGTTTTTCTCTTGCTTCCTGTGCTCTGAGTGATAATCCTTAGAGATGTTTATAAGAAGTTGCATAGGGTAGCTCATTAGCCTATGACATCTTGTTACCAACATAAAATTTTTCTCATGAGATAAAAGAAGGGATGTCAGCAAGTATTTTCTTTTTTGAGGCAAATTAACAACATCAGTATTCATTAAACAGTTCTAAAATCTTTTGCTTCTATAACAGCATCATAAGCCTTTAACTGGTGAACTTAACAGTTCCCTAATTTAAATCTTGTATCAATTTTAGTTTGATTTAAGCCCATAACTTTAGGTACACAATACACTGACCTTTGTCTTTTGCAAATTTTGATTTGAAAACCTTTCTATTCTGTCAAAGAGCTTGTCTCTACATTCAGCCGACACCTAAGTAGTTTTATAGTTTCCCTGAAATTATAAGATGCATTGATCGATATAACACTCTACCAGGGAAATTTGGAAATTTAATTCCTGTTCTTCAATGAGGTATAACAAAATAAAGCTTAAACTACAATTTAAATAGCTATCTTCTGTTTGTATGCATTTTAATATTAATCTTGAGCAGGTTGAAACAAATCAGCTTTAGAATAGAATTTAAATTCCAATCCATCCATTCATGAGCCTTTGAAAGTTGTCAATCTGCACAATTTTGTACATGCAAGAATCCCTATAGAGAGAACGAACCTAATTTTATTTTTAAAAATTGTATTTTCCTGGCTACTAGCACTTCACTCTACCATTTTCTGTCCAGATGGGATTTCTTTTTTTAACTAAAAAAAAGTCTGCACATCACACTAATTTAAAGTCAGCTTGAAGCTACTATATTCTAAAATACATTTATCTGAAAAAAAAATATTAATTGTATGAACACTCAATGGGCAACACTTGAATGTACAATTACAAGTATAAACAAAGGTGGCCCAGAATATGATTTAGTAGGAAAAAAAAAACTTATAATTATTTAAAATACAAAATATATATTTTCTTATCTAATTTTCCTTGCATTAAATTTATCTAGATAAAACAAGGTCCATAATAAATATTTTTAAAGTAACATTTATAGATTTGGGGGGTACTTTTCAGATTAAGTAATTATTGTACACTCATTCTAGGAAAAATGGAAAATGCAGATTGCCAAAACTAACCTTGAACAAATTTTTTTTCACTCTTTTTCATTTTCATTCATCCCTGCCCTCCATGGTTCTAGCACATGATACAACAGAAAAATATTTTTTTTCTTTTTCCTTTTTTTTGGCTAAAGTGGGAAGCTTTGGAGGTTTCAAGAGATTGATTCTCAAGAAATTTCAAATTCAGTGTTTCCAGTAGGTGATCCTCGTGGTTAAGGATCTGCACTGCTTTAGTATTTTTCCTAGCCAACATTTAGCCCATTCCAATCTTGTCTTCCAGTTTTGAATAGTTAAATCTCTTAAAAATGCATTTAGTTGTCTTTATTATTGGAATAGTAAAATTTATATTGTTTGCAAATAACATGAGTAAGTGAAATTATTTCTAACACCTGCTCTTAAGAGAAGTCATAGAGAATCATGTCAGACTCATTTGAGCACAGAAAGAAAAACCAAGGAATTTAAGCCTATTAGTAACATTAATATTCTCGGGGCTGTGTTTCCTATAGTAGACAGCATATTTTGATACCCACCCCATTATAGAGAAGCTACAAAGTTTAATTTTGTGCTGTGGGTGCTTCAGACACTTACCTACTAAATATCTAAAATTTGTTCTCTACACTACTGCGGAGCCTTAGGCACAGAAAGTAAAATACTATTAACTGAATTACTTATTGAACAAGAAAAGTATTCTGTCTCTAATATATAGCAATCTCAATAAGCAGATTTTTTCTAATAAAATATTTATAGTCATCACTGATAACTGAAGATGCTTCTAATCATTTTATGACCACCATAAAATCTTCTGTCATGGGACCTATCCCTATTTCAGGTTTTAACAGATACATCAAGAATACGGAATGAACTATTTTAGGAATATCTTAAGAATATGGGTTTCTGTGACTGCAATTTTATTCTACTGATCTTTTATCTCTACCTGCCAAGTGAAATGGAAAATAGTTATTCAAAAATTTCAATTCAGACAATTTTAATTTTTACCCTTCAACAATGAGAGAATTACTCCAATTCATAGATTTTTAAGTAAATAGTTACACAAAGAGAGAAAGCTTTGCATTATTTTTCTTTTTAACAAAAGAAATGAAAATAGATTAAGAGCTTGAAAAAACAAGATGAAGAATTTCTAAGAAAATACATAGCCTTTAGCACAAAACTATTAATGAAAGGAATGCTTTTTTCAAGCACGAAAATTCTATAAGTATATTCACAACTGGTATATGTTGCTGTAAGCAAAAATGTTTGTATCCTTTTTTTCCCAAAATAGTGTCATAACTATCAGGGAACAAAATAACTTTAAAAGAAAAAGCCCAATATATAATTCTTAGATGCTTTAAAAAGTTAGAAATAATGTTAAAGTGTCATAAATGAGGTCAATACGAGTTCTGTGCTTTATCAGATACGTGTACAAGCGTTTTCTTTTATTCTAGCGTAAAGATTAATATTATTTTATACTTTTTTCATTCTGCTTTTATTCTTTAATGTTTAGGTGCCTTGACCCAAGCCATTCGAAATTTTGCAAAAAGCCTTGAAGGTTGGCTTTCCAATGCCATGAACAATATTCCACAGAGAATGATACAAACCAAGGTATACTTTATGTCCTTGCTTTTTCTTTTGTGTTTAGGAAATTATTCTGAATCGTCAGCTTTACATCTATCCCATCAAATGGTATTATATATATAAAATGTTGAGGTTATAATATATATCATCTTTTAAAATTAATTTTTATATTTGTATTTTATAACCATGTAATAAAGAACTTGCACAAGGGATGTTTGAGAATGTTCCTTTCAAAGAGACTAGAGAAGCTTCTTAAGTGTGGTGCATTTACAAGATCTTTCTAAACAATTATTAGCCAAATATATATATATATATATATATATATATATATATATATATATTCTAAACTATATAAGAAGCACATAAACCATAAATGTTTAATTTTAAATATTAAAGTAATAACCTAGAATATTCAAATAGTTTCCATTTGAAGGAATTTTCTATTTCTAAAATTTCCTCCTGTACGCAAAAAAGTTCATATAAATTAATATTCTTTTGCTTTTTCAGGATGTTTTGGGGTTTTTTTTTTTTAAACACTGGAGAATGCTTTTATGAATCAAGTGAATAATGAACTCACAATTAATCAATATATCTCAGGAATGTGTATTATTTAGCTAGAGATGTAAATTTTAGTCTGTATTTTTTCTTCTATCAGCCATGTTACTTTCAGTTTATCTCTGAACACATCCCCATAGCAAGATTGGACAGAGTCTAAATTTTTTTTAAATGTTGGTACCAGAAATCACATTTGTGGCTTCTTGTCAATGACTGTATTTACTATCAGACTCCAACAATATACCTTGCCCTTGAATCTGGTGGCAGAGTTGATAAATTGAAGTTATTTTAGCTGACAAACCTCTGTGGGACTGTAAGTAGCCTCCAGTTCTTTTGCTTGGGCTTAAAGTTTGCAATAAACATATAGAAGGCAACATTTCATTGATGTGCCCAGATTAGATTGCTCCTCTAGAGCTGTGCTGTCACAGTAGGGCCAGCCACTTGTTGCTATCCCCTAGGGCCAGCCTCGTGTGACTATTTAAATTAGAATTTTAAATTAAGTGAAATGAAAAATTTAGTTCCTCAGTCACATTGGCTGCATTTCCAGTGCTCAGTAGCCTCCTTTGGCTGCTGACTACCATATTAGGCAGCATATATGTAGAGCATGCCCATCACTACAGAGAGTTCTCTTTGGCAGTGCTGTTGTAGAGTACCACATTGAGGTGTGCAAAAAAGAAGATTGTCTTTGATTATGATCGAGGAATCCTTTTCAACTTTCTGTCCGTCACATTTGTAATAATATCTCAAACAGCTAAAGCACTTCCTTTCCTGGTATTGTCAAAGTTAATGTGGTAACAATCCAGTTGCAACATTGGCCATCTCATTGACCTCCAGAGTTGGCTTGAATGATTCACTACAGTAGAGGGTGCAGTCTCTTCTGCTTTCACTGATATGTAGTCTTTTTTTCTCTCTCCACATTCAATTAATGGAGACAATTTACCCTGACATAGGAGACAGCCTTCCAACTACTATGCTTTTAGAATCAAAATGCCCGGGTTAGTTCCTATCACTAATGGAGTTTCTCTGCAATCTTGAGCAAGCTACTTCTTTAAATCATAATATGTGTCTAATAGGATAGTTATGAGACTGGAATAAGATAATATATGTAAGACACTTAACCCAGAGCCTGGCACAGTATATACTGGATTAATTTAAACCACAAAAATGGAATAAGATTCCTTTGTGAGGGTATGTGAGCTTCCCCTGAGTTGCAAATAGTCCTCAAACATCTCACTGTCAAGATACAGCATCCTGTTCCCTGTGAACACCCTCTACCACTCCCAACTGATCATTCAACTACTTGCACCTTATATACCCATATAGCGATTGAGTACAATACTATACATCCCTGTAAATATGTCAGATTTTAAATATATTTTTAAAAGGTTAAAATCATTAGATCTATATTACACACATAACAAATTTCCTTGAGATTATGAGATTTAGATTTTATTTAGAATTTTTTTTTGCATTATCTTTGCTATCTTTCAACATAACTATACTCAGGATCTGAACAGGAAACAAATCATGCACCCAAAGGTAGGGATAATCTAAGAATGTTTAAGAAGAGTTTATCTCCAAAGGTATGAACAAAGTTGAAAAAAATCAAGGAGGATAGTAAAGCATCCCAGGGCTAGCAATAGTGGGAATCCTAACCATCCCTAGGAATGAAGGGGTGAAAGGTGAAAGCTGTGGCATTAGGAGCTCCACTCTTTCCTTCAGGACTGTGGTAACATTAGAAAAAGAAGGCATGCTCTGCTAAAACAGGCAGCAAGCAGAAGTTGTAGAGAATAAGTACCCTAGCAACCACTGTTTCTTCCCATTCTTCCATCTCCTGCCAGTGCCTGTCATTGGTCAAACCCAGGTGGAAGCCAGAGAACAAGGTGGGAGGTTAATGTGGTCCATTCAGATCAATCTTCCTGGGCACAGAACAAGATGAAGAAAAATGGAAAGTAGATTTGAGAGGCAAATAGAGATTTACTGCATAGCCCTTTTAAAGAAACTCTAAGTCCCTGTAATCCCAGTACTTTGGGAGGCCAAGGCAGGTGGATCATGAAGTCAAGAGATCGAGACCATCCTGGTCAACATGGTGAGACCCTGTCTCTCTTAAAAATACAAAAAATTAGCTGGGCATGGTGGCGCGTGCCTGTAATCCCAGCTACTCGGGAGGCTGAGGCAGGAGAATTGCCTGAACCCAGGAGGCGGAGGTTGCGGTGAGCTGAGATCATGCCATTGCACTCCAGCCTGGGTACCAAAAGCGAAACTCCATCTCAAAAAAACAAAAAGAAACTCCAATTCTAAAAAATGCTTCTTCTGATTGTTTGCTTTTGATAATTTCACCTCAAACGTACTTGATTCTACAAAATAAAGGTAGTAAGAATACATCTGAATGGTAATGCTCTGACATGCATTTTCAAACTCAAAGAGTAGGAATTTTTATTTCTCTTTTTATTTGAAAAACCAAACTGTACATTCCTACTTTTAAAATTTGCCTAGTTTCTAGTTGACTATCCAAAGAGCAGTTAAAAAGGAATGAAAACCAACATTTTTCCTGCTTCCCTACTCAAGTCATTTCTCACTGTAAATGAGTAGTTACTTGCAAGACTGGTTTAATTTTTTCTTTTTTGAGACAGAGTCTTGCTCTGTCACCAGGTGCCAGGCTGGAGTGCAGTGGCGCAGTCCCAGCTCACTGCAACCTCCGCCTCCTGGGTTCAAGCAATTCTCCTGCCTCAGCCTCCCAAGTAGCTGGGACTACAGGCGTGCGCCACCACATCCAGCTAATTTTTGTATTTTAGTAGAGACGAGGTTTCACTATGTTGGCCAGGATGGTTTTGATCTCTGGACCTCGTGATCCACCCATCTCAGCCTCCCAAAGTGCTGGGATTACAGGCATGAGCCACCACGTCCAGCCTAAGGCTGGTTTAATTAATGCTACAGTCAGACATCAAAGAATGGGGAAGTTTGTTTTAGTCTTGACCTCAACCTACTAAAAAGAAAAATAATACTTGGTTTAGAGATTTAAATGCTATAATTTACAAGTAAACTCTCTCACCAAATGAATTTTAAATAAGTGTCAGGGGAAAGCATTTAAAATTTGGCAAAGGAAAAAAGATTCGAAGATTGCAGTGATTTCTTTTACTGGAGAAAACAGAATCCCAACTTAATTGGATTGCTTTACAGGTTGCCGCTGTAAGTGCCTTTGCCCAGACTCTGCGAAGATACACATCGCTCAATCACCTGGCCCAGGCAGCTCGTGCAGTGCTTCAGAACACTTCCCAAATCAACCAGATGCTCAATGACCTCAACCGTGTCGACTTTGCCAATGTCCAGGTACTCTGTTTTCTTGTGAAGTATGTCTCTTAAGGAAAGATACCCTATTTGTTCTTAATGTGAATCATCAAAATTTGTTTTCAAAGTCTCATCTATACACAGGCAGTGTCTATATTCACAGTGTCCTGAAAGAGAGGAGCTTGACCCAGATACAGCTATACTGCTCCCTTGTTTGTGGTTAAAGTCAGCTCACATTTACAGTTCTAAAAGACAACATAATGTATCACCAGGACTTGCTGAATAGTTAGTGGAATAATAAAGGTCACAGTCATTAAAGACAGGCAAGAAATTAAACTCTTTCATCTATAAGCTGTGAGATCTTTGGCAGTTTACTTAAGTACTGTGGCTTCACTTTCCCCACCATATAGCACCTATCTGAGATTATTGTTTATGTCTTTAATCATTTGTACCATGACATGCAGAGATATTTCTAAGTTAGTGCCCCTCCTTGAAAAACTAAGAACAATTCTATTTCGAAGTTTACTATAGCTGTCTAGTAAGTATTTATTCACTTGAAAAGGATTATGTACAGTAAGTTCAGCTATTGTAATAGTCCAATGAAAAAATATTTTTAACCTTGTGATCAGGTTACCCACTTGTACTTTAAAGTACACTTTGAAAGCTAAGTTAGAAACATTATAGAATTTCAATATCAACATTTTATTTCTGACACTAAAGGAATGAATCTAAATGTTGCCATATATAAACAATACCATTGTCCACCAAAAGCATAAGCAACAAAAGGAAAACTACATAAACTGTACGTAATCAAAATTTAAAACTTTTGAGTTTCAAAAGAGACCATCAAGAATGTGAAGTGACCACCCCAAGAATGTGAGAAGAGTTTTGCAAATCACATGTCTGATAAAGGACTTGGATATAGAATATATAAAGAACTATTACAACCCAGTAGTAAAAGACAACCTGATTAAATATGGACAAACGTCTGAGTAGATAACAGACAAATAAAACAGACAAATGGCCAATAAGCACATTAAAAGATACTCAATGTCATTAGCCATCAGGAAAATACAAGTCAAAACCACAGTGAGGCACCATTTCATATACTCTAAAATGGGTCTAAGCAAAAAGACCTATAATAATATATCCCATTGGTGAGGATGTGAAAAAATTGGAAACTCATACACTGCTGTTCAGAATATAAAATCCTGTAGCCACTTAGGAAAACAGTGTGGCAATTTGTCAAAAAGATAAGCGTGGAGTTATCATATGATTCAGCAATTCAACTCCTTGTTATATACCCAAGAGAAATGAAAACATGTCCACACAAAACTTATGTATAGATATTCATAACAGCACTGTATCAGCCACATAAAAGCAGAAACAACCCAAATGTGCATTACTGATTAACAAACAAAATGTGATCTATCCATGCAATGGAATATTATTGGGCAGTAAAAAGAAATGAAGTTCTGATTCATTCTACAGCATAGATGAATCTTGGAAACATTATGCTAAAGTGAAAAAAGCCAGGTACAAAGGACGACATATTGCATGATTCCATTCATATGAAATTCAGGAATAGATAAATCTGTACAGACAGAAGGTAGATTGGTGGTTGCCTAGGGCTGGGGGATTGAGAAGATTGGGAGGTAACAAATAAAAGGCCTGGGGTTAATTTTTGAGAAAAAATGAAAAGGTCTAAAATTGATTGTGGTGAGTGATGTACAGCTTTGTAAATATACTAAGAGAAGCCTTTGAATGGCATACTTTAGATGAATGAATTGTATAATATGTGAATTACATCTCAATAAGGCTGTTAAAAAAACAATACCATTGTTTAAAAGTAAACTGATTATCATTTTATTTTCTAGATATTTTAATTTCTACTTCTCACCTACTTTTATCATTTAAAATATACCAAAAAGTAATATTTGGGCTTGATCCATTGTAGAGTATAATAAATTAGTTGCTCATTGTGGTCTTCATGGATTGGGTTCAAACTTCTGTCTGTCTATCTATCTATCTATCTATCTATCTATCTATCTATCTATCTATCATCTATCTTTAAATTATTATATAAAGTTTTTAAAAAAATATCCGTCTACAAAAACACAAACACACATACAAATATGTTCTTTACAAGAACAGACTTTTTCAGCTTTACAAAACCATCTACTTTATATATTTCAATATAATTTACATTAATTGAATAAGCAAGAGCATTAAAAGTTTATATTGCCTTAAAATCTATACTGTAACATTTATTTCAAATCTTTTTGCAGGAAAGATATGTTTAAAAGTATCTTTTAAAAAGTTGAAGAAGGCAACTTCTAGTTTCAAAAGTAATTTAAGCTCAGTAACAGAAAACATTTTAAAGAATTATTTCTAATATCTGAGAAAGGGTTTCAGTGTTCTGTTAGCATTATTATATGTATAAATACACATATGTATTTGAGTATCTGCAATTCAATGAAGTATTTCTACAAATGAGTTCTTCCCTTGTTATAAGCATTAATCTTGATATCTTCGCATATGAATGTTTAGTGTTATATCTACTAGACTGCTTACCCTCCCCACCAACTTTGAGAATACCCTTTCTTTTCCTCTATTTTTGAGTATCATGTTTTTCTGGATCTACCATGATACTCGTTGTTGCTAAAACCAGTATTATTCAGCATCTGCCCTCCAAAACCTTCTTCCTTTCTTCAGAGTACCATGACACAATAGTGTGCCCTTCATTTCCCCCTACATTTTACTTTTGACACTGCTGTACATTTTAATGAGTAATCTCTTTCTCAAGTTAGCAGTTTTCATCTTTAACACCCTTGTTTCTTTCCTATTCTTTTCCTTCTTTTGCCAGATTTTCCCAGAGTCCTTTGCCTCTCATTTCACCATTATCCCCATCTTCAGTTCATTTGGAAGTCATCCCAACTCCTATAACATGAACCTCAATAATCTGACAAGATAAGAATGACACTCTTGTAATAAGGAGACTTCTATTTAAAAGAATGAAATTACATATGTGTCAATATTATAATACACTAAGAGCTTAAAAGTACCAAAAGTTCTTTTCAGGATATCCATATATCATTTTTCACTACTTTATGCTCCTCTAATTAAATTTTCTTTTCTTTGTGCGTTTAAGATAATTTTTCTATTGCAGGATAATTGGTTTCCTGTTTCCTTATTAATTGATAGTATTACAATGGCATCATTCTCTAATTTTTCTGTGTGTAAATGGGTAGGCTTTGAAATCTACATTACGGGCTAAATAGGTTTGGGTGAACTGACCTGATAACTTAGCTATTGCACATACTTGTGTTTCTGTATTTAAAAGGTATTCTGATTTTGAAACTCATGACTACTTTTCATTTTGGATATATATTTTTTTATGTTAAGGAAATCTCTAAATATCCTTAGCTTTTTCAATTATAGACTTGAAATATCTATATTTGTTTCACAAGGGAATATTTACAATGTGCTCTATTGTTAGTATATTTTCACTTTAGAGAGTAGTAAAATGAAGTATAATATAAAGTATTTTGAAAAGCCAGAATAATGTGCTGTGGTTTTATTTCTCTAAGTTTGGTTTTAAATTATCTTTTCTTGGCAAAAACTAACTTCCAAGTAAATAGTGAGCTTGAATTTATGGTAAAAAATGAAATTAAATTCCTTCATGAATACTGGTAAGTTTCTCCTTCCAATTATCAATGTGCAAACAAACAAAAACACCTATCCTACTAATTACAGCTTTATTTATAATACTAAAATGTTGGAACAAACAAATGTCTACTAACTATGTGGGATTGGTTATATAAATAATGGTATATTATGCAATAAAACAAATTCATTCAGTGGACAATAAATATAGGTCTAATTTGCCTACATGGAAAGATGGTTATTATATATTACTAAGTGAAACTAAGCAGAATAGCTAATAGAAAATATAATTTGATCTCTCATTTTAAACATTTAAGTATGTATAAGAATATAAAATGTATAAATATTTGAATAAGAGTTTTATAATACAAATATATAAAATATTAATGTATGCATAATATAGTATATGTATATATGATAATATGTGCATAGATATATTTATGTATGCATGTGGAAAGTCTGAAAGGTACATACATCAACATGTTATAATCTCTTACTGTTGTCATTTTAAGTATTCTTAATATTTTGTTCCTTTTTGCTTATTCATATTTACTTTTTTTATAATTATATTTCAGTCTACTTAAAACATTTAAAAGTGGTATTTAGAAGGTAAAATCTGAAAAGATTTATGACTAATTAGATAAGAGAAAAAAAGACAGTGAATAGTATCATCAGCTGCAATGTAGAAGAAACAGTATGCTTCCCTGGGAAAATAAAATAAGTTGAGTTTGGGGCATTTTGCATTTGAAGTGCCTCAAGGTTGAAATTCCCTCAAATAGGTAAAGTCTGTAGGATCAGGAGAGATACTGGAACTAGAAGATGGAGATAATGGATTTATTCAGTTGAAGTTGTCAGTTCGAATGAACTTATTTTTTGAGAGCATATAGAAAAAAGCTATAGACACTCTATTGAGAAAAATTCATATATATATGTATATATATATGAGCCTCTAAGACACTTCTCCAAAGACATCTATCTTGACAAAATTATCTGGACACAGTGAACCTAGGTTAAAATTTTTCATTAAATTTTATTTCTCTAATTTTATGCTTAGGGAAACTGATAAATTAATTGCTTGAGGTCAGTTTTGTTAATTAAAGAACTAAAGTCTATATCTTCTCATTCCTAGTTAAATATTACATTACCAAAGAATTATGTTTTCCTTGAGTGAATAGGTTTTTTTAAATATCAAAATACAACATAGCACTAGAAACATTACAAAGCTTACAGCAACCACTGAAAAGTAGCCTTAAAAGTTCCTATTTTCATTGCTGTTACCAAACATGAAATTTCCCACCCAGAACCAGAAGGAAAATTGCAATAAGCACATTTTTTGGCACAAAGCATATCTACATTTTCTCCAAAGAGTTTTTGTTGTTGTTATTGTTGTTTTCGGTTCTCTGAATTAATTTGCATTCATAGCCTTGCCTTGATATCCCTTGATATTTCTGTTCCCAATTCATAAAAGTCTTAACAGCATATGCTTCTACCTAGTACCATTCAGTATTTATTTCTGTTTTAATCTTGAGGGGACCACTTTTGGTCAATTCTATCTATTTGTCTGTCTCACTTACCCTAAATTTCCTTAAATGAATTGGTTTTAAAGTTTTATCTGATGGGAAACAAAAAGATAACTTTTGAAAGCTGAATAGAATGGAAAACCCTGCCTACTGTAGGTTCAGACTTCTATTTTTTGAAGTAATCATGTATTTTAGTCTTTTACACAGACTAGTTAATATAGAAAAACCAAGTTATACTTATATGTGACATCACTTTTTTGTGTACCAGAGTGAGCAAGGAAATATATTCATCCCTTAAAACTGACAGATTGTGTTACCTTAATAATTGACAAGTCGTTGTTTATTTTCTGGATTCACTTAACTATTTGAAGCTTTTATTATAATTTTCTGTTTTTGCATCTGGTGTGTGTGCTGACATTCAATTAAAGGATGCTGAGTTGAACTTTTTCTTTGCTTTCCGTGTTACTGTCTCAGGAGCAGGCTTCCTGGGTGTGCCAGTGTGATGACAACATGGTTCAGAGACTAGAAACAGACTTCAAGATGACTCTTCAGCAGCAGAGCACCCTGGAGCAGTGGGCTGCGTGGCTTGACAATGTGATGATGCAAGCACTGAAACCCTATGAAGGAAGACCCAGTTTTCCTAAAGCCGCCAGGCAATTTCTGCTAAAATGGTCTTTCTACAGGTATCATCTAGGTTTTTCCTAAGCTTTCTTCTTCATATTCTGCAAGTATGTATGTGGATATGTATGTGTATGTCTATGTGTATGTGTATGCTTCTCTGACAAAAGAAAAGAAATGAGTAAGGACTTTAGTTTGTAGAAACTCCCTGTTATAACTACCTTCAACCCAACTCAGTGATGACAACATCATAGAAGTGTATCAAGAAACTTAGGGAAACAAACTTTCTTCTAGGAAAAGAAATCTCTTGCTCAAAGCCCTGTGTGTTCTCAGATGGGAACATCTGAGATTCCAGTCTAGATAATGTGTTCAGCAGTAATCAGAAAAGGGCTACTGTCCTCCCTCTTGCAACATACATTATTTAGGCTACTTTCTTGAAGCCTAACACTAGTCTCATTTTTGTTCTCTAGTTTAGTGATGTTCAGAATGTGGTTCCTAAATCAGCAGCATCATTATCAATTGGAAACATGTTAGAAATGCAAATTCTTAGCACCTCCTCCAAATCTACCACATTAGAACCTATAGAGGTAAAGCCCAGCAAGTCATATTTTAAAAAGCACTTCAGTTGATTCTGATGCATGCCCCAAACTATCTATTTAACTTCTTAATTTTATCAGTTGTAACTGTTTTCAAACCTGGCTGCACATCAGAATTAATGTAAAAAAAGGAAAAAATCCTAGATGCCTCCCAAGACCTACTAAATCAAAATCTTGGTCGTTAAGAGATAGCAATTAGAAATGGAGGTGATCAGGAATTTTTTCAGAAAGCTCTCCTGGTGATTCTAATGATAGCCAATAATCTATTAGACAGTAACACAGCTTATTAATAATATAAATCACTTTTTTACTATAGTAGTATAGATAGAAACATGTATTTTTGTAGACATAGAAGCACCCAGAAGAAAAGAGCTTTCTGATTACATGGCATACATCAAATGCTGGGATGAGCTGTTGACCATAACTCTGCCACAAAGATTAAAACCAGCATTTATGACCTTTGTAGGTCAGTGTTTCTACCATATATGTAGGATGGAACTGGCAGGTGGAATTCTCTTTCATAAGTTGGGTAAATTATATTTTTAACTCTGGCATTGGTTCTTGTGGTGAGAGTTCAGTTTTGAGCTTCTTTAGATAAAACTGCCACACTGATTTGGCCCTAAGATTAATATCTGCTGTAAAGTATAGGCAGTCTCTAGTGTAGATTCTGTGCAGCCATGAACATATCAGAAAGTGGTGGCCACACGACATTTACCCAACTGTATCTGTGGCTTTGGACTATGATAGTTATCATCTGGACATCAGTGGTGAGTCCAAAGCTAGTTGTGAGGAAGGAGAGACTGTGAATAACACAATTTAGGAACTAATAGTACTTATAAACTCAGTGAACCCAGACTGTATAACATATTGTTACCACCATTGGTTATAATGATGGAATCAGAGGTTTTTTAATTTTGATGGTAGTTCCTTTGGTTTTATTTTAAGTGACTTTTTTCTTTCTCCATTGATTTGGTCCAAATTCACATTTCTTAAACTGAAGTAAACATAGATCTATATTACCTGTTTCATTAAGAGTTACATTGTCCTAACATCCTGAAAATTGCTGTCTAGTGTCTACCCAAGGGTCAAATGCAATGAAAGAAAGCCAGCCAGTTTTTTGCTGTTGTTTGGATTTTGTTTTTGTAGTTCTACAGATCCACAGTTCTGCCTCTCATATATTTAATACCTTTAGTCCACATAATTCTAGGAGCACATTAATAAGGTGTTGTCTGGCTCTGTAACCCATTGGTATGCATCAGTGAAGCCAGTGCTAGATTTAGATCTGGGTGTTAATGAGAAATGTGTTGACGAGAAATTAAGGTTTCCTGGGAGGATTTGAAATGCATTACCACAGTGTTCTCAAAGTAGATACAGCAACAGTTGTAGTATTGGTAGAATTAGAAGTTTTAATTTGGGAACAATTTTTAGGATTTCAGATATTTTCCCAGTTGCTTGAGAGTTTATTTTTCATTTATTGAGTGTTTTTCTCAGAAAATAACATAAATGGTATATGTGCTCCATGATGATTGATGAAACAGCAGTACACTGACTGGCTGTTCCAAAACTTACAGCACCAAAGGCAGAGTCTGTCCTCTACATCTAAAAAAAACAAGGTGTTTTTTTTCTGCCTACGGCATTCTTATGTTGTTAGTGTCAGACTTGCCCTTACTTCTGCTGTGGTTGTTGGGTTCTTTTTCTTCTATATTTAGTTGATATTGTTTTAGAAATACATCCCTAGAGCCTTCATCTCCAGAGATCTGTTACAGGTATCTGGCAAGGAGAGAAAATTACTTACTTGTATTTCAGTTCTCTGCAGATGTACACACCCAGTAGATCATCACTTACCTGCCCTCTGTCCTTCCTGAGTTGGGGATAATTGGCTTGTTATTATTAGACACTATTATGGTTATTATTTTCATTTCAAAAAGACTCGAAGGCGTACAGTTCAGGGCCCCAGAAGGAAAGGCACATTCAGACAGATGCATATCTCCTGCTGGTAGGCAAAATCAGTAGCTTAGAAACTTGAACCTTTAATATCTGAACTGTTTTTTTCTGAGACATAAGAACATATTGAGTAATAAAAATTGCATTCACTATCAGAGAAGCAGAATTAGAATATTTAAAAATGTTTTTGACATTACAGATGCCAAAAATTTGTAAATTAGTAAATGCCATTATAAATTTGATAATCACATATACAGACACTTCATGTTCTGAAATCAGATGCTTAATCTTCTAATTTCTAAAATTCTTTGTATATATTTACATGCCTAGAAATATAGAAATGAACTTGCAGAGAATCACGATAGTAGCAGTTGATATAGCACTGCAAACAGGCTCTGCTCTGAATGGGGGCTCTCTCCTTGCCTAACCTGGCTTTAAGCAACTAAAGGTGGTTCCCTGGGAGGTAGGAAAAAAAAATCACTGTCTTTCTTGGGTAGAAATGGAGATGTTATGTGGGCCATTTCTCAGCTTGTGTGTTTTGTGAATAACAGAAGAGAGCATTCTTCAGGGCCACCCTGAAGGTCATTCAGATATCCCATTTTTAAAGAATGAAATGTATAGCTTTGATACTGTGGCTTGAAGGTAGGCACAGGGTGCCTACTTTGCCTACAACTGGACAATATGTGACTCTTCCAAAAAGTAATACTCTTTTTGAATCAACTGTAAGCACTTTTCAAAGAGAGTTCACGTAAGGATCGCAGGTGTGATGTTCTCACCTGAAGGGTGTGATGCATCTTCAAACACTCAGAAGAGGCAGGTTGACTATCATGTGTTAGGGTATGTGTTTCGATTTCCACACCACGAGTTATAAAGATAAATATACAAAGATATTTCTTGTCCATTATAAAATAATTGACGTTTACAACTCTGATCTTAAAAAGAGTTGAATTCACGGTAACTTAGCAACAATTCAGTGGAGTCAATTTTACAGCATATCTTACAGAAGTCTGAATCGGACAATAGGGTTCCAATTAAACTGTTAATTGTGTCATTTAATACTTAGCATGTAGAGCGGAGGCCTGACACGATAATAAAGTAGATAACAGCATTAAGGATACAATTCAACTGATTCTTTTCTAAACATAATGACAATAATTTTATGACATACTTGTCTACTTGTCAGTTTTTGAAATAACTACGTATTATAATTGAGAATATTTAATAATTAAACAAAAAACTTCCAACAATATTTAGTATTACATGTGCATTTTATGCTGAAATAAGGTGACTGCCTAACCATCCAAAAAGTTTCCAAAACACTCAGAATGAAATCCAAAGGCCTTATCATGGCCTACTAGACCCTATACAGGCCAGCCACTAGGACTCCACTAGGACCTCCAGACCCTATCATGTATTCTTCTCTTTGCTCACTGCCTTCCTACCATATTAGCCTCCTGGCCACTCTTTGAACACAGCAAACAGTTCTGCCTCAAGGTCTTTTATTTGCCCTCCTTTCTGCCAAAAAACTCTTAACCTGTGTTCATTTCCTCACTGCAATCCAGTTTCTGCTCAGATTCTGACCTCCTCAGAAAGAATTTTTCAGATACCCCAGTTTAAAATGCCTGCCTCCATCACTCTCCAATCTCTGGCCCTGATTTATAGATGTATTATGTATTATTCCCTAACTTTATATTTTATATCTACCTGTATATTTACTGACTGTCTTACCTAAAAGAATGTGAACTTTTTTGAAACCAAATTTTGTCTGATTTATCTGAACCAGGACCCTGCCATAGAGTAGGAACACAATAAATATCTGCTGAATAAATAAATATGAGTTTTCTTGGAAAAAGTTGAACTTGCCTTTCTAAAATGATATCAGAAAACTACTTGTTATGAACATTCTCCTTAGTTGTTCAATGATTTCAGGGTTATTACATTTTTTTTTTAATTTTTTATTGGATTTTAGGTTTGGGGGTACATGAGCAGAGCATGCAAGACAGTTGCGTAGGTACACACATGGCAGTGTGCTTTGCTTTCCTTCTCCCCTTCACCCACATTTGGCATTTCTCCCCAGGCTATCCCTCCCACTGGCCCTCTCCTTTTCCCCCCAATAGACCCCAGTGTTTAGTACTCCCCTTTCTGTTTCCATGTGTTCTCATTTTTCATCACCCGCCTATGAGTGAGAATATGCGGTGTTTCATTTTCTGTTCTTGTGTCAGTTTGCTGAGGATGATGTTCTCCAGATTCATCCATGTCCCTACAAATGACACAAACTCATCATTTCTGATTGCTGCATAATATTCCGTGGTGTATATGTGCCACATTTTCCCAATCCAGTCTATCATCAATGGGCATTTGGGTTGATTCCAGGTCTTTGCTATTGTAAACAGTGCTGCAATGAACATTCGTGTACACGTGTCCTTAAAGTAGAACGATTTATAGTCTTTTGGATATATACCCAGTAATGGGATTGCTGGGTCAAATGGAATTTCTATTTCTAAGGCCTTGAGGAATCGCCACAC